TGTAAAAGTTATATTTTTATGAAAATAAAAGTTATTATCTAATTTAATTATAATTTCTATTCTAACTTTTCTTTAATTTAATTATTTTAAAATTTAAAATATTTTTTTATAAATGTTTAAATTTAACTAAACTTATTTTTAAATATTTTGAGAAATAATGTTCCTGATTATATTATTTTTGGGAACCATTTTTCCAAAACTATATTATCATTCCGTGAAACGTACATCCCCAAAGAAAATAGTAAAAATATGGATCGGAAACATTCAAACCCCAACTCAACTTCCTCTACGCTATGTACTAGTCGACGACAAACTAATCAATGAAAGAAGGAGGGACTTCAAGGTGTGGTGGAGGGGTCAGTGGGTTTGCAATGGCAATGCAGAAAGAAGGAAAAAGAATTCAGTACAAAGGGTATACCATATAAGTCTAGGAATAAAATAAATTCAATGCTAGTTAAAATTAGTTCATGCCTTCATGGTAAAACCACCTATTTAGATGCTCCCTAATCTTTGATTCTTTGTCTTTGATGTGCTAAACATTTCATGATCGGCTAAAATGAGGGGAGGTTAATTTATTTTGGATTTCAAGAGGTTTTCACAATTCTATGTTTTTAATTAATATTTTAGTTCATGGAAAAAAAAGTATTATAATTAATGTAATATAAAAAATAAAAAAAAAATGTTTTTGATAATTTATTATAACACAATATTAATGAAATTGGAAGCTGGAAGCCTAATTTGGCGAAATTTGATTAGTGAGATGATCGGTTGGTCTCCTAAGTCCTAAGGCCTAAGGCCTCTTTTTGTTATATATTCCCAAGTGAGTGATGCGCAGAGGCAGAGCAGTCTCACTCTGTTCCCAAAACCCTAATCCGAAATCTGCATGGCTCCGAAGCAGAAGCTGCGCCCTTCCCATCTGGAGGACCCTCCCACCGCATCCTCTTCCTCCTCCGGCGAAGAAGACCAACAGCCATCCTCTCAACAGCGCCAAGAGGATGAAGTTCCGTCCGCAGAAGAGGAAGAAGAAGAAGCTTCCTCCCAAGAAGATGAAGAGGATGACGACCTCCCACCCCCTCCTCCCACAAACCCCCAATACCAACCCTCATCCTCCGAAACTGATACCGACTCCGGATCCGAGACTGAATCCGAACCCGACCCCACTCCTGCCAAGGTAAAGCCCCTCGCCTCCAGGCCCATGGACCAGCCCCAAAAGCCCAAGCCCCAGCCCTCCGCGGCGCCCTCCAAAACCATCGGACTCAAGCGCACTGTCGATAACAACAACATCGCTGACCCCAAACGCCCCAAGAAGAAACCCGCCAATTCTTCTTCTTCCACCGCCGCCACCGCCACCGCCGCCGCCTCCGACGATGAGATGGAGGAGGACGGGAAGAAGTCCGGCGATCAGGCCAAAAAGTCTCGGCTTTGGAGCGAGGAGGACGAACTCGCGATTCTGAAAGGCATGGTTGATTTCACTTCGAAAACAGGGCAGGACCCTCTCAAGTTCACCAATGCCAGTGCTTTCCACGACTTCATGAAGAAGCTGCTGCACGTGGAGGTCACCAGCAACCAGCTGAAGGAGAAGGTCAGAAGGTTGAAGAAGAAGTTTGAAACCACTGCTGGGAAAGGGAAGAATGGGGAAGCTCCCACCTTTTCCAAACCCCACGACCAGAAAGCGTTTGAGTTGTCGAAAAAGGTTTGGGGAAGTGAACAGGGTTTGGGTGCCGTTGCCATTGCCAATGGGCCCGTGGAAAAGCCCAAGTCCAATGGGAGTGTTGCCAAGAGTCCGAAGAAGAAGGAATCCAGTAGCAGGAACGTGGCTTCTGCCAGGAAACCCAAGCCTGAAGCGAAACCTGAACCTCAGGAGCAGGAGAAAGTGTCCTCGGTGTTGAAGGAGGTTGAAAAGGTGGAGGCTGACCAGAAGCTCCATGGTGGTTGCTCTAGTTCGCTTTGGCGTGAGTTGTGTAACCAGAAAAGGGGTGTTTTGCTGAATGAGGATGCAGTGAAGATGGGATTGGAGCTGATTGGAGAATCGAAGAGGGCAGAGTTGGAAGAGAAGTGGAGGAAATTTCGACTTGCTGAGATGAAACTCTTTGTGGATCGTCAACTACTCATTGCGGAGCACACTAGGTTGATAGTTGAGGCGCTTGAGTCATCTAACAATTAGGGTTCTCAAGTGTGGTAGCTGTCATTTGGTGGCCTTTTTGTTCCTCCGCGCCATATGTTTTGTGGATCTATTATTATGCATTGTAATTTTGTGGCTATGGTATGGTCTAGTCGCTTTATTAGTTGCATTGTTGTTTAGATATTGCCATTATGAAATTGTTCTGCTTTACAAGGTACTTTGAAATTATGACAAATGGTTCTCTTATTTAAGATATCTTATTTGTGACTATGATATTATCTATTTTTTTCTGTTGGTCACGCATCAATGTTGCCAAAACTTGGAAGCTTACACTTTTGTTTATGCATGTAAATATGTCTGGGGCAGCTGTGATGTCTTCTCTTGGGCTATATTATTAGTTGTTAAATGATGTGTTTTTATTTATTTTCTTTCAACCATTATGATGATCATGGACTCATTTTACATCAAGGAGTTTTGTAGTTTTAACTTTGACGGACTCATATTTTGGTAATCTTTTGTGGTTACAATCAAATGATGAAACTGTGATATGAGAATTGGTGTGATCACTGGTATGATAGTCAATTTTCCTGATCAAGGAAGTCTGACCTGTTATAAATTACATTTGATGGTCAAGGAAAATCCTCATGTGAGAATGCTTTGATCAATGTGAGAATCTTGTTATAGCATCTGAGCATATTTTTTTATTACATTTTTAGTGGTTCGTGTACAATTCTACCGCAAATAATCACAATCTTTAATTCAAAAGCTATCAACCCAGAAAACCTGTTCTAACTTCAAATTTATCATTCCTAATGGCTACTGATGCTGGAGAATCGTCTTCAAACTACATTACCTTCTTAAATTGCTCCTTCTATGCATTAAAAAATCGGTAGTAACTAGTAAGGAATATACATCAACTTGTTTCCTTAATGAGTGAAGCAGAAATGGGGTTGTTTCTTGCTGTCATTGCATGTATGATTTCTTGGTAACTGATGTTGCTGCTGGAGTTTGGTTCCTGTGTTAATTTTCTCGTGATCTCATTATTGTAACACATGCATTTCAGAGGCATGGCTCCATGGCAGTACCACCTGCTAGAAAATAAGGATCCTTTCATAATTTCTAGATCAAGTTTTCTATCTCTGTAACCGTGTCGGGTATTCGTCTTAATTTGAATTAGCAAAAACTGTTTATGAACGCAGCTCTTGTTAAGTTGACAGCACCTGCAAATCACGAGTTATGATATTGACACATTATCAAGTTCACATTCATCAGAGAACGAGTGATGATTCTGCTTTTATTTCTTTTGAATATCTCATTTTGATGAAATGTTCTCTTTGTCGTTTTCCTGCATTCATTATTTAAAATTAGCAAAACAAAAACTGTTTGAGACCATAGTTTTTTTTTTAAGTTGACTGTATAGATGCATATCATAGGATTATGGTATTGGATCAAACTATTGAACTTACACTCCATAGACCGAGTAATGTGTGATTTGTATAGGGATGACAACGGTAGGGCCCTATAGGATCCATTTTCATACCAGCATTTAAAAAATAAATATCCTTATCTAGTTCTATATTTGTGTGGGTAGTAATTTTAATTCCCATTTCCGTGTTTGTTGGGTACCTATGTATTCATATGCATGTTTTGTATTTTACTTATGTATAAAGTAAATAAATTAATAAAAATTAATATTTTACACAAGTAAACATAATATTAATTTATCACATTGGAAAAATCTATCATGACAATTCATATAAGTAAATATTACAAAATATTCAATATTCAACATAATAAAAGTTGTAATTAAACTTACAACATCATGACAATGTGTTAACAATATTCTTTAAGATTTGTGAAAAAAGTTATACAGAAATTAGTTAGATTAATATTATAGATTAAATTATATACTATAAATTTAATAAAAAAAAACCAAATATGTAGTGTCATCATCAGAATCAACTTATCTATATTTTTGTAATCGCTTGTCTTTCAATTTCCTATATTATTTTAGTTCACTAATACTAATAGAAATTACATGACAAGAAAATGAATAGTTAGATAATTTAAATTAATAATTTAAACTAAAAATATTAAAAAAAACAAAATTTAACTATTTAATACCTTGTTATTCGTGTTTCAACTAACTTTATGCACACATAATAGTCTTCAAGATAAATTCATGGAGTCTAAAATGATGATGATTTAAAAATCTACCTTTTGTACTAATTGTAGATTCTAAAACCATGGTTGCAATTGAGATTACCAAAACATCCTTAGCAATTTTTTTTTGCAAAATTGGATACTTGATCTCATCTGTTTTCCATCATTTAAGAATGTCAAAATTAGTACTCTTAGGCAAAAAATTTTCTTTAAAGTAAAACTATATTTTAAATTTTGTTTGTGTTTCAATTGTATCATTCACAAATGAAACATAATCAATAATAAATTTTTTAATATTTAGATTATCCAAGTTTGACTTATTAACAATTTGTTTATGAAGTTAAACTTTTTACTATTCCCTTTGCTTTAATTTGATACTCTTCAAATAATAAATAACATAATCTCTTGATATTATTAATTTTAATTGATGACGAGTTATAAAGCTTAAGAAAAAAGTACTTTAACAACTTCAACTTGTATCTTAAATCAAAATAATAACAATATTATTATATTAATTATATATAATTAATATAATAATATTGCTATTATTTTAAATTTAATATATATGAGGAGAATTATAATAACACCAGTGTAACTTTTACTAAGTTTTTATGTTTATATCAAATTTTGTTAAAATTGAACAACAATTTGAGGGTAATCAAAATGTTCATATTTTAGTATATTTTAAAATGTGTATATATATGAGTTAATCACCTATATACTGCCAGTATAAAGTTTTTTTACACTAGCAACCAATCAGACAATCATATATTTTAATAGTGTCATGTCATTTGCTTATTTAATCAAATAAAAATAAAATAAAATAATTTAAAAGATATGATTGGTTGCTAGTGTAAAAAAATTTACACTGACAATGTATGAATGATTAACTCTCTCTCTATATATATATATAATTGCAGGGTGGAACGAGTTGGGTAGAATAATATTTGTACTTGCATCCACATCTACTAAATTTTGTGGGTCTATACCCGTATCCATTTTCATATAAGTGGGTATTTTTACTAATCCAACATGAGGATATTTTTGCAGGCTTGCATGAAGACATTTTTGGGGGTACCTATAGGGTCTAGATCGAATTTGCCATCCCTAAATTTGTCTATTACCGATTCTTTTACATTTTTCATCTTTCTTTTTTTCTTCGCGTTATTAGAATTTTTTACTTAAATAATATTTTTTTAAAAAAAAATTACCTAATTAGGCACTGTACAAGTTTATTTACAGAAGTAGAACCATTCACTGTTTAAGCTCAGAATTCGGTTCCCGGGGAACCGAATTCTGAGCTTCAAAGTGTATTTTTTTTTCTTTTTGCAACTCAGAATTCGGTTCCCGGGGAACCGAATTCTGAGTTGATTTTATATATATATTTTTTTTTCGTGTTTGCAGGGAAACGTGGGCAAGTGTTGGAAGCGGAACGGCCCGTTCCGAAAGCAGAACGGGCCGTTCTGCTTAATGGTACAGAGTGATAATTGTGAGAAACGGCTCGTTCCGAAAGCAGAACGGGCCGTTCTTGACCCGTTTCACTTTCACAATTATCACTCTGTACCTTTAAGCAGAACAACCCGTTTTGCTTTCGGAACGGGCCGTTCCGCTTCCAACACTTGCCCACATTTTCCTGCAAACACGAAAAAAAAATAAAATAAAATCAACTCAGAATTTGGTTCCCGGGGAACCGAATTCTGAGTTGCAAAAAGAAAAAAAAATACACTTTGAAGCTCAGAATTCGGTTCCCCGGGAACCGAATTCTGAGCTTAAACAGTGAATGGTTCTACTTCTGTAAATAAACTTGTACAGTACCTAATTAGGTAATTTAAAAAAAAAAAAATATTATTTAAGTAAAAAATTCGCGTTATTAGCATCGCCAATTTATTTAGTCCATGTTTTTCTTCTATTTCCGTACAGTTGTGACTTAAATGAGGACTTAATTTCATGTTCTGTGTATTTTTATTCTTAACATCCTATTTCATGTACCACTTTTATTTGTAGCATACTTTATAACATTCCAGCTGGGTAAGTTATCAAACCATTAGCTAAATCAAATAGCTCAAACGAAGTTCACATTAGAAGAATGTTTAACATTTCAGCTGCGTAAGTTATGACAACCAACATGTTAAAAGACTGTTTGATTCAAACCTGCTCTACTTGTACCGAGGCTTTTGGTCCAATATGGGTCCACTTATGACTTAATTCCGATTACGAAAGTGCCTAAGGTATCTTTGCTAGCAAAATTATGGCTCGACTGACATATTCGTTTAGATACCTATTCCTCACTCAAAATTTGGTGGTTGAGTTATCCTCACCAATCATACAAAACCAAGAGAATTGTTTAGCTACTTCACAATCCATAGATAACTTTACAAGTTGAGTCGGATTAGGTGATGGCACGTCAGTTGCAAATTCAGATTTATCAGCTGCCCCAATCCCGTGGTTTATTTGGGCTAGGAAATTTTAACCAAGACTATTGACATTTCGTCTACTGCAAAGGTAGACTTTTCAACATGATAAATCATATGTTTGGCAATGTCCACACAAGAGATTCTGAAGAATTTATTCACTCAACAATTCCTCCACAAATTAAACCAGAAATAGAATTACTTAAAAAGCTGGAAAAAACATTCAAATGGCAATAATATTTAACTAGTTTAGGTTGACAACTCAAATTTTGATACGAGTATGCCATCGTTATCTGCATACAACCATTCTCCCTCCCGAATGAAAGTTCCCCCAACATAGACAGGGACATTCTTTTCACCAGTGCGTTTTTTGTTGGATCTGAGTGGATGAGAAGCCAGTGCTCTGACGCCAATGTCACACGCATTGATCTCATCCACATCTCTTATGCAGCCATTGACTACAATCCCAGCCCACCCCATGTTATGTGCTATCTGTGCCAAATTCCCTCCCAACAAGGCACACCTCAAGCTTCCCCCTCCATCCACAACCAACACTCTTCCTTCTCCTTTGGTCTCTAGAATCTCCCTCACCAACACGTTGTCTTCAAACACCTTCACAGTCACAATGGGGCCTGAGAACGCCGTGGACTGACCATAAACCTTGAACACTGGATGCATCACCCTCACATCACCACTTGCTACATGTGCTGCATTTGCGTCACTAATCTCCGCAGTTGCTAGACCAGCCATTTTACAAACTCCTCCTACACAACAAAATGAAATGAAATAAGCTTAGTTAAAATTAAGCTCATATATAAACTAATTTGGTCCAAAAGCTGATTTTGACTTGTGTAAAAAACACGTTCGTTAGTATTTTCCAAAAAAGACCTTAATTTTGGAAATCCCCTTGACAAGATCCACTGCATAAAGAAATTAACTGCCTTAGAAGATGTCAAACATAAATAATAAGATCTCATCATTTAGAAGGGCAAACGGAGTTTTGATTGTCAAAAAGAGATTTTTTTTTTTTTTTTTTCCAAAACCGACGTTGATGAACATGATAGGACAACTAATAACAAGGGATCAAATCATAGGAGAGAAATTAAAGTTAAAATGAAGCAAGGAAGGTTGATTAGTATTGGGTAGTGAGGTTATGAAAGGAAAAAAGCGAAGGCTTAGTTTACTTACGGAGAGAGGGAGTTGAGAATGAGAAGTGAAGAGAAGAAGAATGAAAAATGATGGGATTGGTGTCTGTGGTTAGTAAGAGGCATTGGGGGAGGGATGAGTTGCGTAGAAAATTCCTGCAACAAAATAAAAGATAACTCATGCCCACAACTTTTAGCGGTTGGTCGCACGAAGCCTCCCAGAAATGAGACCACACACTGCAACACCACTCTTATTATTATTTTTAATTAATAATTACATATTTCTACCACTTCTTTTTTGTGGTTCATATATCAGTCAATCTATTTCAGTTAGTAATAAAAGATAACATTTGTTAGTTTCTTCTTCTTTTTAATTTTTTGGTGGGGACTAAATGCCTAAAACCCACGAGGGAAATATAATTTGTTGGTCTAAGTTCAGAATGATGGTAACATTGCCATTTTGTTTTCCCTTTATAAATTTATGGACCCATTCGTAACTTTATTAAAAATTAAATAAAAAATAAGATTAAATAATAAAAATATGTTGATTTAATTAGTATTGTGTTTTGTACTCAAGTCTCAAGATTTTTAATTTAAGTTCTGAGTTCTACAAAAGTATTAATTTTTAAAATTTTTAATAATAAAAAGATATAATAGTCTACTAAATATAAAGATCAATATAATTATTTAAAGAAGTATTTTTTAAATATATTAATATATATAATAAAATAAAATATTTTTCTTTAATGAATTTTTGACAAACTTATAACAAGTGATGAAAAGATGGTTAAGAATAACCAATTTTGTACAACTTTTTTTATAAACACAGAAGAAAAATACGTAATAATGTAAATAATGTAATAGCAAACAGTATAAAAAGTGTTTTAATTTTTAATATAAATATTGATGTAAAAAAATATAAATATTAAATAAGATATGTATGACTTGTATGAGTTGAACACATGACGGATACAGAGGGGGCAGACAGGCCGTGGCCTCCACCCCATATGGATTTTATCAATATGTTATATATTTTCACTCTAATTATTTAAAGAGTATATTTGAATAGAAATAAGTTATGATTTTTTTAATAAATATTACATTGTATTTTATAATAAAAAATTGTTATAAACATAAAAAAATTATGTTTTTTTTTAAGACAGAAAATATTACATAGATAATCACAACGAAGATTGAACTTGATCTCATATTTCTAATTACCTCAATCCTTGTCCACTCAATTACTAGATTAAAAAAAATAAATAAAAATTATTTATAATTTTTAATTAGTTTTAATTATTTTAAAATTAAAATATTTTTTTAATTACATATAAATTAATTCAAATAACGTCGAACTTTTTCAAAATTAAGGGCTTCGATAATTTTTCGCATCATATTAGTTTTTTTTTAATATTATAAATACAAAGTATTTATGTAATTCATTTATAACTATTTTTTTTACTGAAAATATTATTTCTAGTAAAATTTATCCTTCTAATTATATATATGTATATATATATAATTTTGTCTATAAATAAAAATTCAATATTTTATATTATAATTTTTTTGCGAAAGTTGAAATAGTATGTTTAACATCTCATATTAAAATTTTGGTATCATTATTATTATAATTTTGATGGATCAAAATAAAATATTAAGAATTTTGATTCCGGTCAAATTAATATTGTATTAGTTTCTTGTTGCTTTTTATTTTATTTTTATTTTTTTTACATGACGTTATTATAATTATCTTTTTTACAAGACGTTAGTTTTTAAATATACGTAAGTTAGTCATTTTAATTTTTAAGATAAATGTATGAGAAAAAAAATACTTTTGAGAGTGAGTTTTGAAAGATAAATGAAGTGATCATAAAAAAATTATAAGTATATTTTAATTTGATTTTTTTTTAAAATAAAATTTAAAAGGCAAAAGAAGTGATTGTAATTCTTTTTCACTCCTTATAAATATTTTTCTATATTGATATTTAAAAAAATAAAATGATATATTGATAAAATTCAATATCTCATTTCATATTATTTATTTTTGTAGTTTGTGAAAACCATTTTTGTTTCGCTCAACATTCACAACTCGCTATTTCCATGAAAAGGAGGATGCCAAATTGTCTGTCTTACTGTCTCTTTGATGCCAATTGGGGAAATTATAAATTGATAATTGATATTTTTGTCTCCTGCTTACTTTATAGTGTGTCTGGATACACGTTTGAAAACTACATTAACGAAAAAGTAAAAAAAATTTGTTTCTTATTTTCAGGTTTTTATCTTGGAGGGACGTGATTCAATGTGTGGAAACCCATTTCCAAACACACTATTAATATATCAACTCATATATAGTTGTTTGTTTGTACATCAGTTAAAAATGGAGCTTTCCCTTCAATCAACCAATAATCCAATATTATGAGTAAGTGAAACATAAATTATAGGACACACAAAAAATAAAATAAAAAAATGGAGTAAAATAAAATAAAATAAAATAAAATGGAGCTTTCCCTTCAATCAACCAATAATCCAATATTATGAGTAAGTGAAACATAAATTATAGGACACACAAAAAAAAAAAAAAAATGCACACTTGATGAGTATCTAGCAATTAGTGTCGGTGTTATGGTATTTTGGTTTTGGAAAAATAGATGATCAAGTACGTGTTGCGGGTTGTGTAGTGTTACTCATTTCTTCTTCCCTTCTTGTGGCTGTGGCAGAAACATAATAGGGAACAATGAACAATCCATGGATGAAGCAGAGAATGCCTCCTATGGATAGAAATCGATGGCTCAACATCGCACAATTAGATTTTCTTGATCTTGAGTTTGCTAATGTACCTATCATCAGCATGGAGAACGCAATACCCAACACAATCCTGCAAAGGATATTTCCACTTTAATATATTCTCTTTTTCTTCAGAAAAAAAATGTACTGAGTTTCAACTTTGAGATATAGGCCCATGTACAAAATTCAAGAGGATGGATCATTGTGCGATTCTTATTTTATCGATTCCAATTAAATTAGTTGAAAAGATATTTCCATCCGATAACATACATAACAAGTTAACTTTTATAATCATTATCATACTGATAGTAATTGTTAATTGATTAATAATTTAAATTTTGTATATTATCAATATACCAAAAGTTAAACTCAAATTATTATATAGATAATGTACAAGTTCTTTTAATAACAAAACAGACAAATTTGAATTTCATCTGTAACAAAAAAGAAACACAAATTTCATGTTGAGATAAAGTGAATTGATCTATAAGAAAGTAAAATAAAAGGGTTATGAATTAATTACCATGAGAAAATAAGAAAAGCCACTGCCAATTGCCTATTAGCTGTAGCTGATAGGAGCTGTTTTGTGGACGAGACACAAACGCACCCACCAAGCAGGTTTGCAATTACATGAGCAAGTGCCAAGAAAGTAGCAGCTGCAAGTCCCAGCTTGAAAGCATGGTAGCTTGGGTACCTACACTCAAATATCCACACCCTCATGTGCTTCTCCTGTTTAATTCATTTCAAAATGTTTAAATAATAATGTTTTCAACAATGAAGCTATATATCAGGCTCTGTCTAATTATAGTACCTTGTTTTGAGCTATTTCTGCCTCAATTCCAAGTATGCCAGCAACAATATCCAAGACCATCACAAGTATGCAGATAAGGAAGCCATAGTTTTTGGCGGCCATGAGATGAGAATGTGATAGAATAGAACTATGCCGAGCTATGTGATGCCTCTACTCTATTTAACAGTGAAGTGCTACCATTTCTTAATGAAGGAATAAGAATAAAGTTTGGGTCACGTTTGCTGCTGCTGCATGTCTATGTATTATGATTATCATATGTGTATGAGAGTAACCAACTCCCTGTGATCTTAATTGGGGTAAAAGCCGAATTTGTTTTCACATTTTGCCTTACTTTATTTATTCTTCTCTTGTCTTTCACTTTCCAAGATTCGTTCCATTGGGGGCACGGAAAGGAGTATCATTAGCAAAGGAAGGGACACTTCATATGTGTTTTCAACTTTCAAGCATAGACACACGTTACATTTAAACGGTTGGATTTATAATAATAAATTAAATTATGATACTTGTATATTTAAGTCAAAATATATATATTATATGTATTATAATTTAATTTATTTTTATAAATTTAATAATTTAAATGCATAAAGTTATTGTAATTTTTTCAAAGTTAAAAAATTTATAATTTTTTCAGTTAAAAAATCTAAATCCGTCAGGCAACAAGTATTCCTAATAATGAATCTCTATTCTTACTTCAAAACTAGTTGGTGTCTCTTTATTTTCCTTCCATTTCGTAAATTCTTTTGGTGGTGGAAGTCGTGGTAAAAGAAAATAAATGCAACAAAGTGACAAACCTCTAAAAAGGTTGATATGTGATTTATTGGTGTGGAACAGACCTGTTCCAGAGCTTGGAAATGAAACAACTCACGTGTGCCTTTTCTATCTCTCAATCACAAACTACGAAGCGTGCCTTAAGCAAAAAAAAAAAAAAAAAAAAACCT